CATGAAACACATCGTGCATTCCCAACAAGTCCGGAGGTAAAGCCAGCCGATACGCCAAGTCCCCGACTCGAGCAAGGATCTCAAATGTCCCCATATAGCGAGGTCTAAGTTTCCCCTTCTTCCCGAAGTGAATCACACCCCTCATGGGTGAAACCTTCAAGAAGACATGATCTCCAACTGCATACACATGCTCTTGTCTCTTTCGGTCGGCATAGACCTTCTGCCTCTCCTGGGCAGCCCTGATGGTCTTCCGGATCTCCTCGACTGTCACAGTAGTACTACGAACAAACTCTGGACCCATGATCGTCCTCTCTCCGACCTCATCCCAATACAAAGGAGTCCGGACCTTTCGTCCGTACAAAGCCTCATACGGGGCCATCTTGATCGAAGAGTGGTAGCTATTGTTGTAGGTCAACTCGACTAACGGAAGGGAATACTCCCAAGTCAAGCTCCGGTCCAAGACCACAACCCTCAATATATCCTCCAAGTACTGGATCGTCCGCTCCGACAGACCATCTGTCTCGGGTTGAAAGGCGGTACTGAACTCCAACCTCGTCCCCACGGCTCGGTGCAACGTCCTCCAGGTGGAAGCAAAAGACACATCCAATCAATGACCACCATCTCGCTCGTCTTTACGCCACCGCCTTCAGCTCATCTCAACCTAGATAAGGAAGAGAAGACGACAACAAAAAAAAAATAAAACAATGGGGGTGAGCATAACCAACAAGCTCACCATTATCGCACAGTTATCCAGTATAAAGCATTTTAAAACATTTTCACAGTATGCATAGAATCCAAAGTCTAAACTTTCAACTCAGCCCTATCGCGAACCTCCTATGTACATACAACAAACTTCCGGATACAACGACATGGAAGTAACTGGAAACCTTCCCACTCTCGGACACAACAGTTCGTATGATCCTTTCTAGGAGACAATGGTGATGTTTTTCCCCTTCCGGGTACAACCGCTTGGGGCGTCTCTTACCGGATACAACGGGCAAGTGAACTCCCACTGTTTTTGCATTCATCAAAGGCACTATTGTACGGGACACCTAGACTAGGGTTCTCACGTATACAACAATTTTCAAATGAAGCATTATACGAATAAAGAGTGCAATAATTATGGAATACATCACAAATGTACCCACCTCTTTGCAGCGACAAAACACAATCACGATTCTCGAAGGCAGGGTGAGGTCAACACCTCTAGACACCTACATAAGTCCAGATACCAAAGTCAACGCTTTATCTAGACCTAAGCAGAAAATCACAAATTTTACTTAGCCGAACTTGATTCCACTAAGTGGCTCGTGAAGTCCTGTGGATATTGGAACTCTAGGACTTAGACTCGAACAACCAAACACGGGAGTTCACGTAAATATCACATAAATGATAATTCAAACAAGTCACAACCACAACAATAAATCCGGTTTATAGATTTTTACACAAGAACTATATTTTTTAAAAATAGAAAACGATATACCACATAATTAGGTTGATCAAGTTTCTGAATGAGTTAGGTTCTGAAACATTAACATAAAATCCTCCTCATTGGACTTAGTAAAACCACCAAGCTTCAGCCCTAAACTCATTATACACAAATTTATAAAATTCAAAAAATATTTCAGCCAAAAACAAGTATAAGTTCATAGCCTGACCGAATGAACGAATTAATACTTGAAATGTTTATTGGAGCAACTACAGCAGGTAAGGAATATCACATAAAAATATCAACTTTAAACAATAAACACACGAATTTTAAAAATTACTACAGTTTTTTGCAGTTTCTGAATTTAATTAAAATCGAATCAATTCGAACTCCAAAAATTCCAATCTTTTTACAGCAAGAAACTCCACATAAAACAAGCACTTCAGCCCAAAATCACAATTTTTAAGCAACTGACCAATTTAACATAATTAAAACAACTTTTAGCAGAATATTTAAATAAATTATTTACCCTATCAATCTTAGTCCAAAAAGTCTGAACATTTTACACAACATCTAAAACAGACAAAGAGACAACATACTAAAATTTCATAAATTGTGGAGCACAAATCAAATTATCATGCAATTAATATGATTCTGCCCAGAAATCACTTTAATTATTTAAAATAGCTACAGGCCGTAAAAAATTATGAAATTTTTACACAAGCCTTGTAATCATCAAAAGACACAACCCTCAAAATTTCAAGGCAATCCGAGCAGTACATAATTTTTTAGAAATTCAAACACTAAAACAGCGAGCATACGAGTTCGATAAGTTCACATTTGACTTATAACACAACATTCTCGTCTGAAGCCTTCTCTTAAGGCCAAGGACTCGACATGGTTCTGTAATCCACACCCTTACATTCGTTTTGAGGTCTCATTTTATTTATCAAAATCGAGGAGGTCCACAAAACATAAACAACACAATAAATCCGATTTTTCACATAACATTATAACGTGTACATTTAATCGCAAAGTAAGCACAACACAAACATTAAACACATAATGCAAACAATATACACGATTTAACGAGACGGGGTTTGACTAGGTACCGTTCTCGAGAGAAACTCGAAAAAACGAAACGTAGAACACGAACGAGGATGTCGGGCTCGACGGATTCTCGCGTCTCGCCGGGAAAGGAGGGCAGGGATGGCGCGAACAACAATGGCCTGGGGCTGTGTAATCGCGATCTCGGGACCTTGGGACAGCGCCGGGACCGACGTAAGTTGGACGATGGTTGAGCGCGGGGAACAGCGACGAGGAACTCGGGCCGGAGTGCGATGATGCACACGAGTAGAAAGGGGTTAGAACAGCAGCAACACACGAACAGGGTGCTGCGAGCGGGGCTGATCAACGTCGACGGCGGCCTCGCGGACGATGATGATGGTGAGGCGGCGATCGGAATTTGGTCATAGCGGTCTGGTCTCAAGCGAACAGGGGCGAGGATGTGATGGCGATGGTGCTGCGGATTGATGGAGGTGATGATACGGGATGATGATGATCAGGGGAGAAGATGAGCGA